CATTTTTTGCTATTTGTTTGATAGTAGTTGTTACTTTATCCCACAGCATTTGCTTCATCATGACATCCCAAATTTTAAATTCTTGAATTTTACTTATAAAAATAATTTTATTTGTCTTTTAGGTTCTTCTATCTAATTCTACGATAACGAGTTCTAGTATTTTCTATTTATCAACTCTTCATCTTAAATTCTAGAACTAATAAATGATGTTGAGAACTTAAATCCTCACTTAGAATGACCTTACAATCTTTAAAATTTCGACGATCTCTTCTTTTCATAAGAAAATAACTAATTTGTGCTTGATTAGATCCATTCTTATAAGTAATAAGATGCTTATCTCTTTTCTTGATTAAAATATTAGTAATAACAAAATCATACGCTAAAACAAAATCTAAAATAAATCTACCTTATTCATTAGTCACTCTAAAACCGTAGTCACCATGAATATTTTTAAAATCTTCAACACTCTACTGACATGTCCATTCAAATCTTCTCCAATAAAATTTCTTTCTTAAAGATGTATCATTTGCATTAAGTCTTCTAAGTCATTCCAGATTTATCTTTAGATCTTATATCTAAACCTACTTGAGGAGCATAAGCACTTATAATATTAAAAATCTTAGTATCATTGATAATCTTAAGAGCTATATTTCTATTTCTAACTCTATTAATTTTTACAACATTATTTTTCAAACAATTATCTATAATTATGCCTACACCATTTCCAGTTCGACTCTTACCAGAATAGCAAAGTTTAAAACCTAAATTATCAATCTCCTTAGTCTTTTCTTCAACCCATTTAGTTTCTTGAATACATAAAATATTAATCTTTCTATGAATCATAATATCAACTAATTCCATTAATTTACCATTGAGAGTGCCTATATTCCAAGATTATATCCTAATATTAATTACATTTGTTTCATGGACTATCCTATCATTTTTGTATAGAAGATTTTCCAAAAGCACTCATCTAATAATTATAGGTTCTAATATTTTCCTATTTTGACTATGAACATGAACAAAGAGGTGTATCTGAATACTCTAGGTGTAAGATCATGAGAGGTTTTAACATGATTAAATTTTTCAAGGCATTCATGGGAGTTTTATATGCTAAATTTTTTGAGTGCATCTATATTTATAAAGAACATTGTAGTGAGGACAACTCCCAAATAGAAATTAGGAACATTACTTTTAATAGAAATGTTTGAGTGGTGTTAGAAAGTCATCTTCTTATCTTATCATTTTTAATTTGTTTTGGTGTATTTACACAAGACGACTCACAGATGATATCTTTTTTTTTTTTCTAAGAAGGAATTCAGAAACTTGCTAATGTAGTTTTTTTGCGTCCTCATATTGAAATTAAACTTTTACTCCTAATAATTCTGAATTATGGAATAAAATGTAGGAATAATGTTACCAAAATCTTATTTGTTTGATGAAGAATGTCCTTGTGACTCTAATACAATTGTTAATAAAGAAAAGAAAGAACTATTGAGGCCTGGAAACATTTGGAGCTATGGATGGTTTCATACCCCAATTGATTCCCCTTATGGGCTGAGGTGGCTCCTTGGCATGAATTTGGGTTTTCATCATGTGGGGGCTCACGGTTTTGGA